GCCGCCGGCAAAAAGGTGCTTGACTGCATGAAGAGCACGTCCCTACTGTCTGCTTCTGCTCGCGACGATCTGCGGCGCAAAGCACTCCAGCCGTGTGCTGCTGAATCGTTGAGATGGTGTGGGCGATGAAGCTCTGCTCTCACAAGACATTCGTTCGCGCCAAAGCGATGTGAGACAACATTGTACATTGCAGCGCCAATCGTGCTGCAGTGACCAGTAGAAGCAGCAGGCTTAGAGCCGATGTGCTCCTTGCCGCATCATGTACGATCAATCTGCCTTTTTGGCTACGCTCGCAGATCGTGATGATGATGTTTTGCCGGGCCTGCACCCTTCGTCAGGCGATCGAGCCAGCAACTATCGACCTGCTGCTCGTCATGCTCATTCGCGACCATCAGGTCGCTTGTGGCTGAGTCACGGTACAACACTCGGCAGCACCATTGCGCACCCTCAGCAGGTTCTTTCCTTCTGCTTCGCAGCGGTGTCAGCGGCAGTTGCACGGATAAGTAGACGAGTAGTGCTCGTCTGCCTTGATGGCAACAGTGAGGTGACCTTCGGCACTGCTGTCACGATACTTGCTGTCGAGCTGTGCATACTACTTAGCAGGAAGAGAAAAGTTAGCGTGGATTGCAGCGACGCGAAGACGTGGTGCCCGCCCCCACGCGCTTAGAAGAGAGCAGCCGAGGACAGTTTCCTGACGCACGGTGAATCCACCAGCCAGGTATTGGGCCTGCTACTTCCACTCCACGAAGGCACGACGAGCATCCGCGAGCTCCTCACGCCCCTCACCGAGGAGTGGTGCCTCGGTGTTGCACAAGGCTACTTCGCCAACCTTGATGTGCCCACTGTTAAACCGTGTATCGCTCTTCTCTTCATCACCACCGTCTCTGAGGTAGACGTCGGAACGTGTAGAGACCTCAATCCGATCCACCCAACAATAACGGAACTCTAATCGCTACGTTTCTTTTTTTCGCGCGTATCCAGAAGCGGCTCTTGATCTGCTGCCAGCACAAGAATTGGGGGCCACCGACTTCTCCAGGGCTTGTCGCCGGCATTCGACCTG